TGATTGTTTTTGGATGAAATGGCTTCTGTACAGCCTGTTAATGAAACAACAAAGCCAGTGGCTAGTTCAACAGACTCGGGAGACGAGAGTGATGTTAGTGACGCTTATGATGATGTGATAGAAATCAGTCCGTGTAAAAGATGGGAAAAACGACGAATTGAGGTGAACAAATCTAGTCTTTTTGTTTATTTGTATGAAGTTCTGTGTTTTATTGATAGTTGTTTGTCGTAGTAATAAGTAGACATTAACTACTCAAGGACAAATGTCAAATATGCTACCTCCCCCCCCCCCCCACAATGACAAAATCCAGTCGGAGGGGAGGGAGCAACTCCCCCCACCCAGTATTCACTCCAGCTTTTCATTTACGCTTGTTTTTCATGTGCCAAACTTAAATTTGCTTTACATTGTTGACAAGGGAGGGGAGGGGGGTTAAAATGTTTGGAAGGGGTTAGAATTTTTTGCTTTTTTGACTATTATCTTAGTTTAATACATACTTCTTGCTTTTCAATTTATTTTTCCAATACTTACTTCGAAAATTTGCCCTACTTTCATTGAAAACAGGATCTGAAACAGTAGATTTAACTACAATCCATCCTGCAGGTAACCCAACGTGATGTGCCAGGAATTGATAAAGCTTTCCTTGCGATGGACACAGAAGAAGGTGTTGAAGTTGTTTGGAATGAGGTTCAGTTTTCACAAAGAAAGAGTTATAAAGCACAAGAGGTGTGCTATAAATCTTTAATTCTTTAATTAACTGTGTGTACGATATTGACTATAAAGTTCATATATTTATTGTTTGTCCGACCCAAGAGTATTGGTGCCCGACTGAACTCAGGTTTTTTTCCAGGGATTTTTTAGGGCTGTTAAATGGCCCCAAAAACTCAATCTTGAATTGAGTTTTGAAACTCAATCTTCTCACCAAAGTTTCAGTGCAGTAAAAATGAAGTTGTTTGAGTTAAATTCGTGACATGTGAAAATTAGTTTTCAGTTGGAAACCCGACAAATAAAAAAAAATGGCTGGAATTCATCTCACAACACAAGAAAAACTATGCATTCGCCATCTTTAACCAGTTTATAGTGTCCCTTAGTGCCCCTGTTTTAACACATTCCATCTCAACTACATTTATTGAGAACAGGTGTCAGCCCCTGGTAGGGGGGAGGGGGGGTGCAGCCACCTGTTCAGCTAAACTCAATCTTCTCTGCAAAAATGGACCCAAGAGAAAATCCTGAAAAAAACCTGGAACTGTAGCTTTGTCCAACATAATTCAAAAGGTACCCTAGTCCAGCACTAGAGCAGCCTTTCAGGTATCCGTTTGAAGTCCTGGCTAATAATAATTTGGGTATGGCCAATACTGTTTTGCTCTACTGAGGCTCCGGCTATTAATTGATGAGCGAAGCGAGTATGCAAAGAATGGAAGATCGAAGCTTCAAGAGCACTGCGAGTTGAGTGGTGGGCAAAGGCTTACAAGCTTTGTCTATTTGGTATATTGTCTGAGTGCAAGACTGGGCTACAAATTTCAGTTTGTCATGACTGCAAGTACCAGCGAATTACACACAGCCTCTGGCGAATGGCTGTCAAATGTCTTCTTAGCGCTGGCGAAATTTGCCGTTCGCCGGCCTAAAACAAGATGGGTGCTAGAGGCTTGTATAATGTTAAATAGAGAATCAGAGTAGTGTATAAAAAGTGAACTGGAAATGTTGTTTTAAATTAATTAATGTAATCAAGGGCGGGGCGCTGAGCGAAATGGTGAAGTGGAAAATGGGCTTCAGTAATTGTCGGGCTTATGTTTTTTTCCAAGTTGAACCCTATTATACTTTATAGTAACTACCAGTTTATTTGAATTTTAGGCTACGATAAAAACAATATTTCAAAATTTAACCAAACTTAAGGTAGGTAATGCATTCTTAAGAAATGCCTTCAGAGGCTACATTGTTGTTTTTTATACAAAATCATAAAGAAATTCTGGGAAACATCTTTGTTTGTTTTTCACAGCATCCAAACATCGTAAAATTTCACAGGTTTTGGAATGACATGCAAGGTGACAAGGCACGGCTTGTCTTCATTTCGGAATATATGACCTCTGGATCGTTGAAAAAATTCCTCAAGAAGACACGGACAAACAACAAGACAATCAGTGCTAAGGTACGAGAATCTACTTTCTGTTTATCAAATTAAGGCCGGCGCACACTAGAGCTATGTGCTTAGCAAAATGTCATTCGTGACTGTTGGCGTAAGGAGATAGCTCTCGTGTGCGGGCGATTTACGAACGACTTTTGTCATTCGTGCCACTTACGCCAAATATCTAACATGTTTGATAATTTCTGCCTCGCGTGCCAAAATCTTTCCGTGTGCGGCGAACGAAAGCTATCTGCTTACGGATTGTCGTAACAGCACATGCGTAGTATACGAAAGTAAACATCCAAGATGGCGGCGCAAAATGAATTGCTGGCCGAGGCAATTTTAGAGGACAAACTTACTGGCTATTTCTTTCACCGCACATTCCTTTTTGTCCCTATTTCTAAAATCTGCAGAACTCACATCGTATAAACATTTGTATTCAGGCCAAAGTTCGACAAGTTTGTCCTCTAAAATTGCCTCGGCCAGCAATTCATTTT